ACACCTGAAGGTGAAGCCTGTGGGTTGGTTAAGAATTTAGCATTAATGACACACATTACAACTGACGATGAAGAATTACCTATCAAAAAGTTGTGTTACGTATTAGGTTGCGAAGATATTCTAGGTATCGATTCGGCGACTTTATACGCAGACGGTAATTTTGGTGTTAGTGTTAACGGTACTTTAATTGGATGCACTAGATTCCCTGTGAAGTTTGTTCTGGACTTCCGTAACTTAAGAAGATCGGGTAAAGTATCAGCATTTATTTCTATCTACACCAACTCGCATCAAAAGGCTGTGCATATTGCAACTGACGGTGGTAGAATTTGTAGACCATTAATCATCATAGGCGAGAAGAACAAATCGAAAGTCAATGAGCATCATTTAGCAAAGTTGTTATCAGGTAAGTGGGCGTTCGATGACTTTTTAAAGCATGGATTAGTTGAATATTTGGACGTTAATGAGGAGAATGATTCTTTAATTGCCTTATATGAACATGACTTGGTAGAACATTCATATCAAAATTTCACACATATGGAAATTGAACCATTCACTGTATTGGGTGCAGTTGCAGGCTTAATCCCATATCCACATCATAATCAATCGCCAAGAAATACATATCAATGTGCTATGGGTAAGCAAGCGATTGGTGTTATCGGTTATAATCAATTTAGAAGAATTGATACTTTGTTATATTTAATGGTATACCCTCAACAACCAATGGTTAAGACTAAGACTATTGAATTGATCGACTACGATAAATTGCCCGCCGGACAAAATGCTGTTGTTGCCGTTATGTCTTATTCAGGTTACGATATCGAAGATGCCTTGGTCTTAAATAAATCTTCAATCGATAGAGGTTTTGGTCGTTGTCAAGTTTTACGTAAGAATACCATCACATTAAAAAGATACCCAAATCATACTAAAGATTTGGTGTCTGGTATGAGGGTGGACGAAAATGGTGAGCCAATATTCCCACATGCAGCATTAGGGCCGGATGGCTTAGGTGAAGTTGGGATGAAAGTAGAGAATGGTCAGGTTTATGTTAATAAATGTGTTCCTAATAATGCCGGTGAATCTGTTTTGGGATCTAATGATCAACAGCATAATCAACAGCAAACTGCTGAAAGCCATAGGGAAGTTCCAGCATTTTATAAGGGACCGGAACCTGCATATGTCGATCAGGTTATGATGTCGGTAAGTGATAATGACCAGGCTTTAATTAAAGTCTTATTGAGACAAACTAGAAGACCTGAATTAGGTGATAAGTTTTCCTCTAGACACGGACAAAAGGGTGTTTGTGGTATCATCGTTCAACAAGAGGACTTACCTTTCAATGATGACGGTATCTCGCCGGATATCATTATGAACCCACATGGGTTCCCATCCCGTATGACGGTTGGTAAGATGATTGAATTGATCTCTGGTAAGGCCGGTGTATTGAATGGTTCGTTGGAATACGGTACATGTTTCGGTGGTTCGAAGTTAGAAGAAATGTCAAGAACATTAGTTGATAAGGGATTCAGTTATTCTGGTAAAGACATGTTATATTCTGGTATTACCGGTGAATGTCTTCAGGCATATATTTTCTTTGGTCCTATCTATTATCAAAAATTAAAGCATATGGTTTTAGATAAGATGCATGCAAGAGCAAGGGGTCCAAGGGCAGTATTAACAAGACAGCCTACAGAAGGTAGATCGAGAGATGGTGGTTTGAGATTGGGTGAAATGGAAAGAGATTGTGTTATTGCTTACGGTGCGTCACAGTTATTATTGGAAAGATTAATGTTATCGTCTGATGCATTTGAAGTAGATATCTGCAATCAATGCGGTTTAATGGGTTACAATAGTTGGTGTACTAGTTGTAAAAGCTCAGAATACATCATCAAAATGACAATTCCTTATGCTGCTAAATTGTTGTTCCAAGAGTTATTGTCTATGAATATCGCACCAAGATTGAAATTAGGTGATGTATTTTAAAGTAGTTTCAATTTAGTGTCCCCTTTTCTATAGAGAATTCTTTATGGTAAATAACGTGTATGATAGTTTAATATTCAATTACTTAGATATAATTATAATTCCTGTTGTAATGGACTTAAAGTTGGAAGAAGCATACTGTAAAATAATAACCGTTATGACCGCGTCGCCAATTCGCGTACATTACTTCAATAAGATATAAACTCGCTAATAACTTTATATGTGTTTCTTAATTATACAAACATCTCTAACAAACATTATTCACCATACTTATTACTATTCAAATAACTACATCTGAATATTGAAACACAATTTAAAATAATTAGGTATAAATATTCAAGGGTTATCAATTCCAAACGAAGTCGCTAGCTATTTTCGCAGCTGCAAAATTTTTGGCCCGGCTACGTGATATGTGGGGAATTTATCATATTCTCCTCCAATTTAGCTCCAATTTTTCCATAATTTCTTTCCAACCCTTCTATTATCGCGCTTTCCTATATGTGTTATTCAGAAGTTCCCTAGCTTGGTTTGGACTCTACAAGATCCGGTATTTACTTCTGTAATACATGGTTTGCAGCATACAAAGTCGTGCTCAATTCAAAACAATATTTTAAAACTCGCGTAAAGACTTTGCGACAAAAACGGGATCAATTTAAGTGATCATAAACGCTTTTATAGAGCCAAATAAATTAATTCAGGCGACTATCGATATATTTCCTAGGTAGAATGGCTTCCCTATCTACTAGGATGCGATTTCAACGTAGGATGATGTTGAGTTGTGCAACTTTATTTATTCTTCTATTGGTGGTCAATGTTAGCAAAACGTCACTGATAGGCATTGAAGATGCGATATTCTTGGCTAAGAATTCATTTAAGGAATTCAGAGAACAGCATATCCCGAACGGATTGCATATCGGGGATAGGATTACTAATAATGTAACTGATTCGAGTTCTCCCAGTGTTGCAGCGAGCATTTTGGACTTTGATTTACAATATCCGTTTGATAACGTTGTAAATTCCATATTTCCTATAGACACTACAATTGAATACAATTCTAGCGATAAGAATCATAATATTACCACGCACAGGATTATAGGAAGATATGCGTCGTATAGTCCTATATTAACAGGGCATGTATCGGGAACTTTCAAAATGTTTCCAAATAATGCATGTGGAGATATTAATAAGCCAGATTATAAGAAGTACGAGGACCAGATACTTGTGGTATTGAGAGGTAACTGCAGTTTCGTGGAAAAGGTAGAGAATATAATAAATTCGGAACTCAATCCGAAGAGTATTATTATCGCCAATGACGAGCCTCATAGAGGCTTGATTACTATGTATTCAAATAAATTTAATACGGATGGCTCCTTTAATGTCCCAATTATGTTTATTTCGTACGAGGGATACAAAGAGTTAAATAGCATAAAAAACAAGCATTTGGAATTAACAATATCCACCGTGGCGTTCGGAAGTTTGATGAATATAGTTTTGTCAATGATTTTGTCTCCACCTTTATTAATTTTCTTACTTTACACTTTCATCAAGTGTGTTCAGCATTGTCGGGAAAAACAAATGAATATAGCCAACGAAAAATTTGTTAAAAATTTGCCTATTTATATTTATAATATGAATCACTTGATTTATTCTAAGAAGTTTTATGACTATTTGAAAATAACAAATCAGACAGAAAATATTCCATTTGCAGCTGAATCTGAATTGAATTCATTGAATAGATCGAATTCATACGATGGTCTCAAAATGAGCCGTTCGTCGTCCAAGACTTCGGTGAATAATTTCACTATCAACGGAGTTAATGTCAAAAGTATCAAAAGTCAGTTTCATATTTTAACCGCTCCTGACGATTTTTTTTTCTCATACAAATGCCCCATATGCTTGGACAAATTTAAGCCTTTAACTTCGAGGGTCCTTGTGTTAGATTGCAAGCATTGTTATCACGAAAAATGCTTATCTAATTGGTTAATTAACTTCAGAAGAAGCTGTCCTTTATGTAACAACGTCATTAAGGGCAACGATACCCGTTACCTACTTAGTGATCTGGAATCATCTACGTATGGTAGCTTTGATGAAGATTTAGAAGCCCAAGTCCTTCCAAACTCAATTCACACTAGGAATCATTATGATGAACATTCAAATGGCTCACCAAATTTGAACTATACTAATGACCAAATATATCACACAACCCCTAAAAATAACAATAATCAGTTATATATCTCAAACAACAATGATAATAGTGACGACGGTGAACAAGTATATAGTCCATCTGAGAATATGGCCGACGTAACCCAGTTTGAACCATTTTTATCAACAAGTACGAGTCAGAACTCCCCGAAACTGCAAACTTCTCATGTTGATCCTGCAGAATCACCCAATATTTCAGGATATCTTACATTCCCCACTAGTCATAAACCAGCCGCATCGAGTGGTAGTGTTGGAGCCTCAAGTATGAGTGATGCATCTTCGTTTTTCTCTGCGAAGAGCCATTTTGATAGCAGAAGAAGCAGTTCAACCTCATCACCAAATCCACCACCACCGCCGCCACCGCTACCATCGTCATCGACTAAGTATTACACTAAGCCCTGGCAAATCCTCAGTCGTTTTGCTCCTCCAAAGTTGGAACCTCTTCACGAGGTGAGTTCAAGCATTGATTCAGAAGATTTTGCAACTCCATCTAGAGACCCTGATGATACTGATGAATCTACAATTGACGGTCAATCGGTAGGATCAAGTACTGAAACGGATCTTGGTAGTGATTCCGAAAACGAAACAAGTAGTATTTAAGATCGCCTTATCATCCAGTGTTTCTTAATTGTATATGTCTATATATATTAGTTATGGCCACAATTATTATTCACCCCACAGAGGACAAAATCGAAGTCACGTGTCGTATAAATATGAACGAAAAAAAAAAAGATTACCCAACCAAGCGGTTACGTCCGAGCCAGAGTACACGATTAAAACAGAGAACCCATCTGTTAAAGACTTGATTATAATCGATAAATATGGATGGAGAGAGTAATCATGGAAGTATCACGGGTATGAAGCCCGAAGAGCTCGCTAGCAGTATTAGCTCGAGGAGCGTTATGACTGATCCGGGGTCTAGTTCAGAAGATACAAAGAAATCTAAAACAACAAAGAAACGGAAGAAGAAGGTTGAAATTGCATGTGTTTATTGTCGTAGGTCACATATGATTTGTGATGATTCAAGACCCTGTCAGCGTTGTATCAAAAGAGGTATAAGCCATTTATGTCATGATGAACCATCTAATTCAAGACAGCGTAAAAAGGCAGAAGCCATGGTCAAAGACCCAGAGCCAAATGTGCCGCATTCACAACCAATACAGTCGCACTCTATGGCACAACCTATTAGTGCCCAAAGGTTTTTACCTACAGATCAAAGAAGCCCGGTTAACTTGAATCCTCAACACAAATCTGTTAATAACTCAGTTGTGTCGCAAACATTACCGTACAAGCAGGAGCCTTTTTTCTATTCTGAACATGCAGGTAGTGAATTCAGCTCATTAAACGACTTTTTGTCGATGATTGATGATCCTGATTTGGTACACGGTACTTTAAACGACGAGACTAATAATAATGATCCTTTGTATGCGTTTGGGATGGGAAATAATGGTAATAATATAAGTAATATTGATATACCCAACCATTCAAATAATAACAGTAACACTAATAATAATAACAATAATAATAATAACAATAATAATAATACTAATAACCCTAATAGCACTAATAATAATGGCAACAATTTGACGAATATTTTATCGTTTTCCCCAAATGCTAATATGTTTTCACCTTCTTTTTCAAATGACCCTGAATCTATGGAACAAACTCAAAATCAATCACATATGCAACCCCAAGTTGGCAGTAATGCGTATGGTAAACCTAAAAATAACTTACATCCATCCACTAATCAAGCTACCCATCAACCTGCCATATCCGATGCAGCAAGAGATAAATTTTTCCTAACAGCAGCAGATCCTACTACTGAAATATCTCCAGAAGAGAGATTAAAGCAAGTTATCAAGGCTAAATTGGAGGCGGGTTTGTTGCAACCCTATAATTATGCAAAAGGTTATGCTAGGTTACAAAGCTATATGGACAACTATATGAATTTATCAAGCAGGCAAAGAATTTTAAAGCCGTTATCCGTTTTTCGTCCTGCTTTTAGGGCAATTGCTAGGACCCTTAAGGATGTCGATTTGGTTTTGGTAGAAGAGAGTTTTGAAAGAATGCTTTTAGATTATGATAGAGTCTTCACGTCTATGGCAATCCCAGCATGTCTTTGGAGGCGTACAGGTGAAATATATAGAGGTAATAAAGAGTTTGCGTCGCTAGTTGGAGTACTGACAGATGACTTAAAAGATGGTAAATTAGCCATATATGAGTTGATGAGTGAAGAAAGTGCCGTCAACTTTTGGGAAAAATATGGTGCTATTGCATTTGACAAGGGCCAAAAGGCTGTTCTAACCAGTTGTAACTTAAGAACTAAAGATGGTATAAAAAGAAAGAGTTGTTGTTTTAGCTTCACAATCAGAAGAGATAGGTATAACATACCAAGTTGTATAGTTGGTAATTTTATACCCATCGACCCTTAAAATTATATCTAGTTTTTTTATACTGTAGTATTAAAAGTTCTATAAATACACGAAATAAAAATTTTATTATCAACTATCATTTTACCTAAACTATTTATTCAGAAAGTTCTGGTTCTGAGTCACCTTCTTCAAGGTCATCTACTTCTATGTCTGAACCTTCATCTTGGTTCTTTTTATCTTTACGGGCTTTCTCATCATCGGCTACAGCATCCCTTAAAATTTTCAATTTTTCTTCTTTCATTTCTCTTTGAACAACAACATACTGACCCAAAGGAGTCTTTTCCCAGTTGAAATCCTTCAAGAAGAGCTGAACCTCTGTTTTATTTGATGGACCATATTCAACGTTAGATCTCTTGCCAGAAATAAAGGTGGCATTTGAATTTAATTTTTCAACTAATTGCTGCAATTGCTTATTAAATCTAACATTCTTGGATTTTTTCATGAATCTTCTTAAAGATAAAATAGCTGGTGTAGCCAATTCTGGGAATGCAATATTCTTTGAGTATAATACAAAGAACTCACTGGTTAACTCTATAAATTGTTCACATAATCCATCTTGGTAAATCTTGGTACCTAAATATGCTTGGTTGACCTTAATGTTATGATCGAAATCCACAACCTGTAAATTCGAACGCTTTGGTGGTTTCGTTATACTAGTAGAGGTTAAAATTTCTGCAATTAATGGGAAAATTGGAATGAAAACTCCAGTGGACTGAGACAATCTTATCAATGACCTAATTAAGTAAAATCTTAATGGGAAAAATTGCGCAGTTGGAATTAATCTCATGGCACCTAACGTAACCTGAACCAAAGGATAGATCAATTGTCTCAATGGTGATTCTTTAGACTTATGATTGAGCAATTCCTTTTCTGGATTACAGTGTTGGGCTAAAACTCTTGACCAGAAATCTAATGAATGGCAATATTGCCAATTGTAAATAGTCTTAAAACCTTCCTTTGCATTAGAAGTAGCGTTAATACTATTTCTTAAATGTATAGCCAATTGCCTAACGTATTCAAATCCAACTTGATAAGACAATGTTTCATCAATTCCAAATAATTCAGCTGCTGAATTCTTACAGAAATTAATCATGGGCATAGTATGAATATTAGTCTTACGGCAGTTCTGCAAAAGAGAAGAGTAAGTCAATTTCAAGACTGTTTCCAAAATAGATTTAGGAAATTCTTTGACAGCATTATTCAAGAATGCAAAGGTAGCAATTTGTGTGTCGATATCGCTTGTGGTTGCCCAGGCGTTTACCACTGATGATAAAATTTCTTTTAACAAACGTCTGTAAGATAAGTAATAAGGAAGAACTTCTTGGATTGATGAAAGGACTAAAGCAGCAGTCTCAGTGTTTGTAATGTCCTTCAACAAAGTTATATATGATCCGGCATGAGACTTTAAAATGTTAGAAATTTGAGTAACATTTTGATTTTTTTGAGGAATACTTCTAGCTCCAGTTTGTGGGTGAACTTTATATTTAATTAACGTTTGGATGGCTTCAGGTAATTTCTTTAAAGTTAATAACATTAAATCATTAAAAGCCTTTGGGTCAGTTACTGAGTATTTATAATCTTCATCATTTGCATTATTAATATTGACAGCAGCCTTAAAAGCCATAGATATATTTTTGATGGTTTTAGGACTTGGCTTGTTTAATTGTTCTTGCCACTGCTTAACTAATTTAGGAGTTATTTCAATCTTCTTAGATGCTGCTGCCTCAGCTTTGGTCTTTTTGACAGGTTTTTCAGGTTTCTCTTCTTCTTCGTCTTCTTCGTCTTCTTCGTCTTCATCTTCACTCATTGCATCCAACGGATTGACACCTTCAAAATCCAATAAATCTTTGTCGTTTTCTTGTAAATAGTTATAAAAGTCAGGATCCTTTTCGGCCAAGTTTTTTAAATCGTTCTGCATAGCTTCTTCATCTTCTTCCTCTGAAGATGATTCTTCCTCATCTGATTGCACTTTCTTTTTCTTATTCTTTTCCTTTGGGACTTCAAATCCTCCAGCAAAGAACTCATCTACTGGCATATCTTCGAAGACTTCCTTAGGTTGGCCTCCTTTCGGACGGGTATCTTCGCTGTCGTCATTACTACTAGACTTCTTCTTTCTAGAACCCATTTTTTTATTGTGTTTTTGAACCTCCCTACGGTGTTCAATAGTATGTTTCAAGTGTTTACTTTGAAACTTCTTAGTAGATTTAGATGCCTTTGCCATTGTTATGTTTGATACTAAAGCTTATTATAAGTATTGATTTAACTTTTGAAAAATATATATATGAAAAAAAAAAAGCGATGAGAGGCATCGTATCAATTTTGTGTCATTTATTCTTTTATCGTCACATATACACCTATATGAAGTTATCGAATTTACCACTGAATGCATCGAAAAGCCAATGAAGTAATTTGTCGTATACTATAAGATTTGAATTATGGTAGTATATTGAATGATCATTATCAGGAAAGAAATGGACGTCATAGTTTTCCAAATTATTCAAATTGAACTTATCCAATAACCACAACAGATTTTGTAAATGTACGTTATCATCAGACATACCGTGCATTATTAAAAACCTCTTAACGGAATCAAAATTTTTGAACTCCTTTATGCGGGAAGTTTTATCGTAGTTTTCATTCTCTGACGGTAAACCCATATATCTTTCTGTATAAACCGCATCATAAAATAGCCAATTCGTAACAGGAGCCACTGCCATACCAAATTTGAACGTTTCACCATGGTCATATTCTAAAGTCTTCAAAGTTGTAAACCCACCATACGACCATCCCCAAATCGCAGTTCTATCTCTATTTATAAACTTCTCATTAACTTCAATGTATTCTGAAACAACAGTAGTAATATCTCTAGGCTCCCAATAACCAAGCTTTCCGCTTACAAATGCTCTTGATTTCCAATCCTGGGTAGTACCTCTGGGGTCTATGATTAAAACAATTGCATCGAGTTTCGCACTTACCACATCTTCAAAATCAACACCAAATCGTTTATCAACGGTCTGTGATCCTGGTCCTCCATAGGCATGAACCAACAATGGGTATTTGCGGCGCTTAGGGTCAAAATTAGGTGGAAGAATTTCAAGAACGTTCAAATTTACTGGGGACTTGTCAGGAAATTTATCAACCCTGACTGTTTTATATAACCTCGTAGGTATGTTAGTCATTTTCAAGGAATTCTTCATTACTTCAACATGATTGATAGGTTTGGTCTTGTCTATTAAATCATTAACAGAATTTTCCTTATCCTTATTTTCTCTGGATTCAAGTATATTATGGATATCTGCCATATTTATTAACTTCTGCCAAGGATTATTTGGTCCGTTATAATTCAAGTTTAGATATTGTCCGTCTTGGTCAAAGCTGATTTCATACACACCATCCTTGTTTATGTCTGTAATGATATGTATGCTACTTTCAGTGGCCAACTTTACTGCAATCAAATGCGATTCCATAGAACTCCTCATGGTAGACAAGCAATAAACAACATTTTCTGTCTTATCGACTACTACTGGGGAGTCTGAAATAACTTCCCAGTTGTTTGAATCAGTCAAAATTCTCGATGGATCTGGCGAGGCTGCATTTTCAAACATGGCTAAATGTGTACGCTTATTAACAACTATTTTATCAATATAGCTATTTTCTTCATTATCAGTGAAAAACACTGTCATAGGCGAAACCTTTTCCACCCATCCATCGTATTCCTTAGTAACATTTACAGAATTTATTTCTTTTATTTTGTTTGATTTATCAGGCTGAAATAATTTTTTACTCAAAGTTTTACTAGTACGGTCAGCATGCTTCATAAGGAAATTCTTATCATCGATCCAAAGTCCGTCATAAAATAAAAAATCCTTTCCTAAATTCGAATCTTCAATAGTTAATTTGGTGGACTCTCTCGTCGTTACTTTAAAATTATGGATAGATGCTATAGGGATTGGAGTTCCAGGTTTTGGGTATTTGATTGATCTTTTAGTGGGATATTGCTTGACATTATCTACTGTTTTTTCTTCCGATTCGTTATATGTGTCCCCAATTTCATCAGAATCTTTAATATAATAGTCTAGATCGTATTCGCTGACTTTTGAATCATCTAATGATACATATACAAAATTTTCTTGATTAGGAGACCACCAAAAGAGCTTATAATCAGCAGAGATTTCTTCTTCATAAACCCAGTCGGGCTTACCATTAAAAATATTTGGGGATCCATTCTTGGTTATTTCTGTTACTTCCATGGATTCTACGTTCTGCAAATATAAATTGTGATTAAACCCGAAAACTATGAAATCACCATTGGGTGAAAACTCTGCAAAGTGAAGTTTCTTGAGTCTCTCATGATCTAAAGGTGATTCTTCTTTCTGCGACTCTTGTTTCTTTGGCGGTTGTATCGGTATATACTCGGTAGTTTCAGTGTTATAAATCCAGTAGAGAGCAAAACTCAGATGTCTCCACTGCGATAATGTATCCGATACCACTATGTGATAGTTTGCAGATTCGTCTATTGATTTTCCTGGATTCAATTTCAATTCTTCAATGATAAAGAAATTGTTCTTGTACGAAAATTGAATGTTATCTATTATTGTCCTTGATGACTCTCTATTCACCAGTTTAACATCGAAACTTCCTTTTAAACCTCGCGATAAATAGAATCCGTCTTTCGCCTTGTGTGCTGGTTTTTGCTTGATATTTAACCATTTGACTTGCTCTTTGAATGGAAAAAATGTGCCTTTTCTGTATAGTTCCAATGTCAAGTTCTGGTTTGTAGGATCGTAATGGTTTAACGTAACATTAGTACCGCTCACAGTTATATTTGTTTTCCATTTCAAGTCAGAAACAATCGATAATGCTGCACCTTGCGAATACACTATTAATGCTATTACCCACAATGCTGCCACGCAACCACCCACTAATCCACACACCTTCTTGTTCATTGATCCAACGGCCTTATATTTATATAACACCGTTTGAAATTTAGGGTTAATATT